CCGTATGTGGTCTGGCATTGTCCTGCTGAAAAACCAGCCCAGGGCGCTGCAAAAGGAACGGTAGCAAAACAGGTCTTAGGATGTCGTCGACGTACCGCTGTGCAGTAAGTGTACCTCTAATGACGACCAAAGGCGTCCGGCTGTCAAAGGAAATGGCACCCCAGACCATAATGCCTTGTTGAGTGACGGTATGGCGTGCAATAGTGAAGGCAGGATCCCCCCTCTGCCCTGTGCGTCTTCAAAGTCTTCGATGATCGTCAGGACACAGTTGGAAGCGGGATTCGTCGCTGACTATACGTCCCTAGTCGGCATCATTACAGCCTGATCGAGCCATGCACCACTGTAATCTGGCTCGGCAGTTTCAGGCGTGAGTGGCAGTTGGCGTAACGGTTGCCGCGAGCGTAGATTTCGCCCTCTCAACCGTCTGTGAATGGTCATGATGGACACTGGTGTTTGGGTTGAACGTCTGATGGTTGATAGAGATGAAGAAGGCGCTGTGACAGCTGCTCGGACAATCACTCTGTCCTCACGCTCTGTTGTAGCCCTAGGTCAACCGCTACCATCCTGACGCTGAACTCTGCCATTTTCCACCCATTCTTGCCAGCATCATCGAATCGCCGCAACGCTTCGACCCAAATGACGAGCGATTCTCTGATTTGTTCAACCGGCCTCTTTCAATCCAATGATACGACCTCTGTCAAACTCTGAAAGATGCTCCTAATGAGCGCGAATCCTGCAGCGAGGCATTTTTTAAGTTGTTGATAGGTAATCTGAATCGCAATCAAACCGAAAGCTTTAACAACCGTTGAAGAACTGCTCCTTTATTACGTCTCCTGGATGCGCAGTTCCGATGCGCCAGAGATCAAACTATTCGTTCATCGGACATCAAATTTTAATCATTTGCATATCTGTTCAAAACATTCATGCATACGAAATTTCAAAGCAATCGGATGATTGCTTCTTGGTGCGTCGATTTTTTTGTTATGGAGTGTACTCACAATATAAATACTTACCTTATAATATAAAGATATATATCCATCTACATTCTACATAATTTATAAAAGTAGCTATGAAGTAAAAATTTTATTAAAATTTAGGTTATTAGGATTATTTTCTGATATATGTGGAATTATTATAAACTAACAATTGTCTGCAGCTCAACTCTCGTACGTTTTTATTTTCTCTGTAAGTAAGGTTTTATTTTGTAACAGAAAAGTTTTTTTCCGCTGTAAATTGTAACCTAGCATGTGTCAATTCTTTAGCTAGCTAGACCTCCAACTTAATCTGAGCACAAGATCACGGAGATATGTTGCTTAGTTTTTACGAGAAAACGAAATAAACAGACCAACAATGCACTATGGTTTTGTATACAAACCTATTTCCGCAATTATAATATTAGTAGCGGAGTTGGGGTCTTATAGTGCACTATTTTATTCCATTAACATTTTAATTAAATTAAATTAGTATGTTTCATAAAATTGTGTAAGTTGTAGGCAGTCGCTTTGTGGTCGCAACACAATTTGAACTTGTAAAAACTTGCACATAATGATATATCAGTATACGTAACTGATTGATTCATCAATTGCAAGGACTTCCACGTGAAAGATTGCATTGTGGTCGTTTATATTTGAAGCAAATTTTATCGAGTTCCTCTATTTTGCTGAAGAGTTTAAAAATAAAAATTTCGTTGAAGAGTTTAAGTTCATAATTTTATACTTACCATAAAGGTTTTCTTCTAAAATGCACTGAGGCAGAACACCAGTCCATTGTAAATTCTGACTGCAAAGGCGCATTCTGGAACCTTTCAAGTAGTACTGCCTAGGACATCTGTAATGACATACTGAGCCCACTGAATAACGTTCATTCTGACATGTCTCAATTACTTTATTCTGAATAGGCAGAGGATTACATTGGCGAGATGTAACTATATCAAAACAAAAAATTTACTATTTTTAGGCCCTAATTAAATTTTTTTAGAAATCACGAATTACGGGGTATAGAGAAAATTATTTAATTAATTTATTTATTTATTAAAATTAATTAATAGGCTATTAAATAATCGCCTGCCAGTCGCCACACGAACGTTGCTTTTTTTGTCGAAAATGTACACCATGATCATTTTATGATTTTTTTTTTAAATTTAACAAACATGAAATTGTTATAATTATTTTACATATCTTTATTACTTTATACAGAATAGACAGAGGCTAACATGGGCGTTATGTAATTATATCAAAACAAAAAATGACTATTTTTAAGCGCTAAAGTAATTTTATAAAAAAATCACGCATTACGGGGTATAGAGAAAATTAATAAATTAATTATTAATTTATTGCTTCTTAGATGTTTTTTATGCTGCTTGTTTTTTAAATGTTTTTCCTCAATAAACACTTTAGTGTTTATCATATTTAGAGAAACGCTTCAAAAGACATGGCCATTATCAATATCAGTACCTTTATTAATCGTTTGAAATTTTCAATTCTTTAAAAACATGGTCACTACTAAAAATGCTAAAACTCGCCAATGGGCAGTAGCAAAATTTTCTAGTTTTTTCCCTGTAGAACAGGGAGTTTTCCAATAGTACCTTCAATGGACGTCGTCTTGCACTTTTTATTGCTATGATTGAATGTGAGCTTTTCATCTTTTTTTCATTGGCAACAGTAGTAGGCACCGTGATCTAAGGGACGGAAGTGACGTCATAGTCAACCGGAGCTTATTTCTGCCCCAGCCGGAAGTTGCTTATTTCTGCCCGCTTGCTTATTTCTGCCCTCCTGAAACTTCGTCTGCAACGTCATGGGGAGCTTATTTCTTTTTTTCTTAAGCCTACCATATTTTTAGTTTCGGTTTCTGCTTTTAATTTAGTTTCGTTTTTTTAAATATTATTTAATTTATTAGTTTATTGAGGGTGGCAATGATGGTTATTTTTTTTTACGTAGATTTATTCTGTTACCTCCATCTAGTGGTTAAAATATTTATTATTTTTCCAGGAAATAAGAAAACGTTTAAAAAATTATAAATAAATAAATGATATCATGCACATGCTTTTACTTCAATGGCNCTCATTCAATTTTGTTTTTCTCATCCTCGCTCGAAATATACCAACTTTATCTTCTCATTTTTTGTTTTGTTTTTTGGATGCAAATGAAGTTTTATGTCATCAAGCTTAACCATTTGAGTGCGGCGATTGTTATGTACCAAAAATGCGGAGACGCTGCTGTGGGTTAGTATAGGTTGGTTAGTAGTTGGTTGGGTAGTTGTTAGTAGCTGGTTAGTAGTGTTGTACGCATTTCATTCCGCACTATTAGCATATATATATAAGAAAACTCTTCAGCACTCAAACGGTTAACTATGCCCACTAAATTAATTTTTGAATAGACGAGACTAATCTTTTTATAATTCTTTGAGTTGTATCATTAGGTCATTATGAGCAATCCTTACACAAAAAATTCCTTTATCTCAGTTTTTAATTTCTTTTGTGAATAATATATTTATACCTTACTTCTTTCACAACGGGGCAACGGATTAATCCACAATCCATTCAAACAACGGATAGCACCTGGTCTGTTAAGAGTGTAGCCAACTTCGCAAATAGCCACGACGTATAAATTATTGTGATGAAGCAAACTTCGGTATTCGGTATCGATTTCTCTCCAGATAGTCCCGGCTGGTTTGCACAGCTGATTGCTTAAACCCACTGTTAAAAAATAAAAAATATTTATTTTATTTATTTATTTATTTATTTATTTATTTATTTATTTTATTTATTTATTTATTTATTTATTTTATTTATTCATTTGTGTCAAGCATTATCATTTTTGTTGCCAAATGATACTGAGTATATTTATATCTGTGCGCTGAACTCCTAAAAACGCGTTTTGCTTAATCAATAAAAATAAAGTGGCCGAAAAGGGTGACAATTAATAATAATAATAATAATAAATTGAAATTACAATTTTGTTAATTGGGTACTTGCAATTCGAGAAAAAGACGACCACTGATACACAGACATGTGACCTATGACCTCAGCACCAGCTGATTGTTTATAAAATGATGGCATGTTAAAGTCGTGCTAAGTTTCTACACATAAGTTAGAATGTAAATTAACGTCAAGTTATTTAAATACAACTCCGTATCGCACATCGAATTTGATAAAATATAATTCTTTCTCGACTACGTCTTTAACCTAACTTAAATTTACTGTTTGTTGATGTATATTATCGAAACCATGATAGATTTTTGTTTGGTGTATCTGGCAACTTCGATGCGGAATTAGTTCGTTTATGTTCTACATGGCTTCGGGCCTGTCTTTATGCTAAGTAAGAAACTCATTGTGAAAGAATATATAATGCGTCGTTTCAAAGAATTCATACTTGACGGGCTTGGCTTACTCGAAATAGAACGGAAAGAACAGTTGCTAAACTAAACAAATATCACGTTTCAACAACTCGTTCAGAATCGAGATAGCCACTCTACGTCACTTACATGTAATCTATCGTGACTGCATATCACGTGATCCGGAGCTGATTGATTCTGATTTATTGCATATTTGCTTTTTAGTTTATTCCTCACGGAGAACTGGTATTTAGCAAGCTTAAAATGAAGCTCTTAACACGAAATGCAATATTTTTTTAACTAAAAAACTTACGTAAGTTTATGTCGCTAATAATGCTCACTCATAATAACAGAAATTCAATTGATCGTTCAATTAATAGTTGCTTAGTAATTATTTTTTTGCGACAAACATATGTCAATTGTTCTTTGAATAACAGCAATTCATTGAATAATATGCAATAGAGTGTGTTATGTCAACACCTTCTAAAAGAGAGAAGGTAGTACCTAGTAATCAATCTAGTAATTCTAGTTATCAATCTAGCAATCCTAGTAATTAATCTAGCAATCCTAGTAATCAATCTAGCAATCCGACTTAATGAACATAAAGGAAAACGAACATAAACGAAGGGAAAATAAGAGTGATGTCACTGTGTTTGGGCTACTAGGCTGCGCAGTTGGAGAAAATACTAAAAGTATCATTATATTTGGGCTACTAAATGATCAAATGTCTTTTTCATGGTAACTCGTGCTAGGGCCTTTTCTCTTCTTGGAGGTATTGGTTATATAGAGGATAATCATGCAAAAGTGCAACGCAACCCTCCAAATAACCATATAACGAATGCAGAGCTGCGATGGCTCAGGGGATAGAGGGTTCGCCTTCCAATGAGGGGAATCTGGTACGAATCCCAGGCATAGCTGGTCGATACGAATTCTAATTACCCGACTTGTGGCGACCATAGTGCTGACACGTGAAATATCCTGAGTGGTATCCCTTGCTGTCAGACTAACCGTAGATCTTCCTCTCCATGTAACGCAAGTGCGGGTTAGTTCCATCAAAATGTCCTCCGAAGGCAAATTTCTTCCAATACTTAACCCAAGAGTTCCCTTGTCTTCTGGATTGAGTTCAAAATTACAAGGCTACGTAGTGAAACGTACGTACTCGTAAGCCTTAAAATTGATCAGTTGTTCAACAACGGTTAAAAAGTATAATATTACTAATGCAACCTCCTAGTGAATTAATTTTGCAATAACAATCTTTTTTTATTTGTAATAATTAAGCTCGCGAGTCTTCAGTGTAATTTTAATGCAATTAATGAAGTTGCTTCACTTTCATGCGATGACACAAGTGCGTATAAAGAATATTTTATCTAAAATTATAGAGTTAACTCGGTTTTACATCGAACGATGCAAGTAGTTCAAAAAAAAAATTTAAAAACGCATATTAATTTATGCAGCTAAATTTTAACATACACTTAATTCTTCACAGAAGGCGTGAAACATTTTTTTTTAAAGGGCGTTTCTGCTGTCAATTATGATACGAAATCCATAATTTAGAATTTAAATAAAATTATTACTATATTTATAATTACATAATAATTTAACTTGAAAGATATTTTTTTTTCTAATTTCAAAATTAAAATATGTCTTTTGGTGGTGCATTTTCTTCAGGTAGTAAAATAATAACATTCATTTTATCATTTTAAAATTCTAATTTCATAAGTTTTTGTCATTTTCTGAACTTAATTAATGTCTCAATTTATTTTAAACCACTGAATGAAATAATTTTACATCTTGCATGCATTAAAAACTCAGAACTGTCTAAGTCAAATTAAGATCAGAAATTACGTCAAGACTTACCATATGATACGACATGATTACCACATAATATGAATATTAAACTATTAATCACCAACAATAGCTTAATTATGGTGCTTGGATACATGTTGTTTCATTTAAAATTTAGTCTAGTGTATAATTGCATTATTATTCACGTATTTACGATATTGCAGTCCTACGAATAAAGTCGCTACTAAATTGCTTCTGTTTACATTTCATATCAATCGGTCAAATGATAAGGAAATCGCCTTAACCTCACATGACTGATTTTTACTTCTCATAAAATCATAATTTACGAAAGTGAAACTGAAAGGAGATGTCACTTGGAAAAATAAATACTTAAGATTTTTATTACAATTTAAACAAACAAAAAAAAATTTTTTCGGATTTCCATCCTTTAAAAATTATCACCTATTTGAAGTGATGAATTTTACATTTAAGGGCTGTGCTTAAATAATTATCGAAAAATTTTCGCTTAACTCTTATTTTCTAACTCTGTTATGTGTGGGAATTCTTAAACGTAAAGATAATTGCCTTTTTTTTCCTATTTCATCGATATGATAAAATAGAAAACCACGCTTTCAATTTTTCAAAGAAAAAATAAGATTTTTCTTTTTTCTTTTTTTTTTTTTTTAGATAATATCATTTTTTTTTTNTTTTTTTTTTTTTTTTTTTCAATTTTGTCAGCGCGACCTCCTACAATCTGAAGTAGGTGAAATCATAAGATTTTTTTTTTCCTCACTCTCTAGTGATTCGATAGATTTTTATAACGTTTTTGTTATTAACCAATTGCCTATTGTTTTTTTTTTCGATATTTAGGGAACTTTACAAAAGTTTTTTATATTGCCCTTCTTTTTTTATTTTTTAAAAAATTAATTCTTAAATAAAATGCCAATCTTATCCTAAGACCCATAGTTTTCGTAGGAGGAAATTTCACATTTAGTATATAATTTTATGATCCATGTATTTATTACCTTTAAACAAACAAAGAATAAACATGCTTTTGTTTGCATAAAATAACAGCATATAACATATTTATAAAAAAACAGCATATAAAAGAATAAATATTTATAAAATAATAAAAATATTTATAAAATAACCGCATATTTAAAATAACAGCATATTTATAAAATAACAGCATATTTATAAAATAACAGCATATAAGAGAATAAACATTTTATAAATAATAAGAATATTTATAAAATAACAGCATATGTAAAATAACAGCATATGTAAAATAACAGCATATTTAAAAAATAACAACATATTTATAAAATAACGGCATATAAAAGAATAGTATTCATAAATTTACTGAAATTTCTTCCATACACCTATAAGGATTGTACATAATTCTCACTCAGATTTATATAGTAACTCCTCTTTTTTTTATTATAAATGTCAACGAAATTTCCCATCAACTGATTCGTGTCAACGATTCCATGTCAACGAATTTTTGACAGCTGACATCGCCAGATTTATTCGGTGATTCATCAGTGAAACATAACCAGATCATTTGGCATAAACATTTACACACGCTAATACTTCATCAGATTTTTTTATATTATACTTATAGCAAAAAAAGTTACAAATGAAGGAAAATATGTCAAATATTACGAATTACATTACAACTTTGTATTTAATAAGAACTTTAATTTTATATTATTTATAACTCTATGGCTTAATCAGAACATAGTATATAACTATATAGTCATAGTTTAACTCTCACCTGTCATCAAGAATACTGAATATGCATCCCCCCCCCTCCCTCATTGAACCACCACATCCATCAAGTTAAGGATAAATGGGTAAAGGGAAGCAAGCTGCCTCAGGCACCCACATATTCTTACAGTACAGTTTAGTACAACAGTTCAGCTATACGTGCAGTTTAGTTCAAATAAATAGCGATGAATAGTTTGTATTGATGATTTATTATTTATTACATTATTTTGGTTATTGGTGGTGATGGTTTTTGTTTTGGGATATTTCGGGCATTGTCTAAAATTAGCTGGATCAGATCCTCCGCAATTAGCACAGGTTGCTGTAGTTTCTCTGCTTGTTTGTTTTTCTTTTAATACAAAACAGGCTGGATTTGGGCTTTGCTATGACGAGAAAAAATGCCAACAAACTGTCATCAACAGGAGCAGACTACGCTACTCCTAATAAAACCAGCAGTCAGAACCGTGAGGACGAACTGTAAGAGTTTATTTTACTCCTCCTGAAAACCAACTAAAATTGAAATGGTTTTACTACCAATTTTTTTTTCTTTCCCGCCTCACTGTAAGACCTAGTGAAATCATTGTAAATCAAATTTATTAAATTAAGGACGAAGACAGTAGAATCTAAAGTTTACTACCATTTTAAATGTTCAAATGAAATCTCCAATAAATAGCGGAAGACGTTAATTTGAGTGTACCACAGGGCAGCATTCTGGGACCGATATTATATATATTATACACTTATGATTTTCCTATAAACATAGCCGATTATAACAGCATAACAGCCTATTACGCAGACGATACCGGTATTATTATTAAATCCAGAAACCCAAATCATGCTCTTCAAAAACTACAAGACCATATAGACGAAATAGAAGACTGGTGCTTAAAATGGAAAACTGCAGTAAATGCTGGAAAATCACAAATATTAATTATACAAAAAAGAAGAATTAAAATACTTCCACAACTTCAACCAAAAATGTTCAACATACCAATACCAATAGTTAAAAAAGCAAATTATCTTGGCCTTATAATCAATAGCAAACTCACCTGGAATGATCACATCAAAAGCACAATAGATAAAGCAAATGCAGCAATAATAGCCATACAACCATTAATATATAATCAGAATATGTCACTTAAA